CAAGTTTTATAAAGCAGCTAGGTAACGCGAAGGCTGAGGTCGATTTCTCTACTAATGAGAGTACAGTGGAGACACTGAAGGCCTTTGTATTGATCAATTTAAGGAGTCTGCCAGCCTTAAGGATAAGTAGATGATGAATGCCTTTATTCATTTCTGTGAGTCAGATAATTGAAATCAAATATGATAACAAGAGAAAGGAGACAGACTCGATCTTGGCACTAGCAGTCCGTAGCACTGAGCGTGAGCCTCGTGAACACTTCGGACCAAGATTTATAAAGCAGCTAGGTAACGCGAAGGCTGAGGTCGATTTCTCTACTAATGAGAGTACAGTGGAGACACTGAAGGCCGTTGTATTGATCAATTTAAGGAGTCTGCCAGCCTTAAGGATAAGTAGATGACGAATGCCTTTATTCATTTCTGTGAGTCAGATAATTGAAATCAAATATGATGCAACCCAAGTTAACTTAGCTCCCTTAGCGGTTGATCAATATAACTCTGATGGAACGTTTAGTAAAACAAGAGTAGTACTAGATCTGTCGCCAATCAACAAAATACTTCCGCAACATAGTTTTCCCGTACCAAAGATAAGCGAGATACTACGCAAAATGGAAGGTGCGACTATCTTTTCCAAGATAGACTTAAAAAGCTGCATTCCATCAATTACAGATATATGAGCCTCATAGGAAATACCTTTCCTTTACTTGGCAAGGTAAGAAGTACCAATTTAAAGGTGCACCGGAAGGCTTACACATGTTACCTTCTTTCTTCCAACAAGTTATGATGGAACTATTTGCGGACCTGTCGGATAACGTATCAGTCTATTTAGATGATATAGTTATCTTTACAAAAACAGCATATGAACAGGCTAAATTCGTTAAGGAAGTTTTAAAGCGATTAAACCATGCTAAATTTAAGATTTACGAGGACAAGTGTTCTTTTGCTAAAGATACTATACATTTACTTGGTTACAAGGTATCTGCAGCGGGATAGAAATCGATCCTGGCAAGAAATAATTTCTGTTGGATATATCAACGCCGATTACTGGAAGAGATGTTAACTCTGTGTGTGGGTTTGTTAACTTCTTCTCGCATTTGGTACCTCATCTTTCTCATTACTTAAAGCCTTTCAGTCACCTACGGCTGCACAAAGGAACTTTGGGAAGGCTTTGGATTAAATAGTGTGATGATGCATTTAAGCTAGTCAAAAGTAAAGTAATGGACGAACCCATCATACGATACCATGTGGATGGCGTCAGTAGCAACCGACGCTTCAGATCGATCGGTAGGTGGAGTGCTTTACCAAACGATAAATGGTGAACCACGCTACATACAATTCTTTAGCAAGAGTTACAATAAGAGTCAACGGAATTACCCTACCGGTAAACAAGAGCTGCTTGCTATAGTTACTGCGCTGAGACAGTTTAAAGACTACCTGTAAGGAAATTACTTCATTGTCGCCTGTGATCAAAAGTCTTTAATATATTTAAAGAACACGAACCCTGATTCACAGTTGTGAGCCGCTGGCATGACATTATTGACAAGTTCGCTATTAACATTACGCACATACCAGAAATACATAACCATCTTCCTGACATGCTCTCCCGACTTGTCCCTGACTACCAGAAAACAGTTAAATAGCTATTAGCAACCGCTTGTATGTTTAATAAGAAATGGTTTAACCTCGCTCAATCAAGATGGGGTTCATTTACTATTGTTATGTTCGCCGCAGAACATAACAAACAGGTTTATGATTATAGGTCGTTGACTCATCCTAAAGGTGTTGCCTTTCAACTTATCAAAGCATAATGCGTGGGCTAACCCACCTTGGCAACTTATTGCACAGTTGTTAAATTATGTTAATATTACTAAATCTACCATTACGCTGTGTTGTCCCTTGCGTAGTTCCGACCCATGGATACGTGATTCAATTAATATGATACAAGACGAACCTATCTTTGTCAACCGTGAACCCGACACGTTCTTGTATCAGGGATACTATTCCCTTCATGTTAATAAAACTCGGAAGACTTATTATGAGATCCAGGAAGCTACTTTTTATCTTATAGATGAAGTTCCAGGTGGCTGTGACTTCTTGTTTAGCTTTGTATGTCGAAGGGTCAACCTATTACGTACATACTGGGATTGCTCTATAGTGCCTCCTACCTTTGGTCTTCAGAATCAGCAAATTGATTCTTTGCTTCACTTGGCACTAAAACCCTCAACTTCAACCCTCACCTGACCCTTATGTGGCAGTATTGGTACCAACAATTGCTGATTTCCATTGTCGTTGCGAAATGTACCTGGGGACCTTGAAGAGCATATTTAGAATGGTGTAGATGCTGCGGCTCGATATTTGCCTAAAACACCAGCCCAAGCATTGGAATTTAAGGGTTTTGGGTTCTTGTAAAACCCCAAAACCTTAAAAATTCTAAACGCTAAATCGGTTGTGAGGAAACAAATTATAATTTCATTCAATGTGTTGAGGTTGATATACGTATCAAACAAAATGTTAAACCGAAACGAATCATTTAAAAACAGAAGAACCCGCAATTTATAAAGTGGGAGCAAGAAATATGTGCACGAGACTATAAACGCGGTATTAAAGGGTTTTGTGGTAAAACGTGCGGGGATTACAATACCTCGCTATACAGCATAGGCACGTAAAGCTCGGAGTAGCATTTTTTTAAAGCTCGTAATGTCTGATCCGACTCTAGTTGACGTCCATGAAACTTGTGGCAGACCAATGCGCTTATTCTATAGGTTGGATCATGGTTTCTCACGAATGTCATACACGCCATTCCTGAGCTTATTCTGTTCATGCATATCCAGTGTATAGTACAATAAAAATAGTTGGTCACTAAGTATACTCTCAGACATATCTAGTAAAGCCTGACGATTATCCTTTAGCAAATTACAAAGCATACATATGTCATTCTGGAAGTGAAAGTCTTTCCTAAAATATTTGTAGCCTTATGTACTTTATCTACCAGAGAATGAACACGGTTGGCCGTTTGTTGTGAGTGTGCATACATCATCCAACCACCCTTTGAATTTATTAGCACTTCGCACACAAAGCTTTCTGTGCTTATAGTTTGCATTATGCCAATCTAACCATTGACAAGCCGTATTCACAGTCATACCAGTCTGCGAGCGGTAGTCCGACGGAAGTAAACTGGCGACTGTCTACACAGTCGTGTTAATTCTGTGATAGTATAGTTTTGAGGAATAATACCTGTTGGGCGCTGAGCTGTGTAGTATCGATAGAGTCCTCAACAGAATTAAGTATTCTCACAATGTTTGTTGCTTTACAACTCTTCCTAAAGACGACATCTACAATACCAGACCTCCATCGCTGGTCCCTGCCATCGCTGGTTCATTATATAATATGTACAAGCAATTACAATGTAATCGGAGTCAAAAGCAAGAATATGGTCGATAGTACCTTGCTACTGCAATGCCAAGAGTTGCTGTTCGGCTCAAAAGGGAGAGACAATGGACTCAGCATCCTTGCTAAACACAATAGCATCAGTATCTCAGCCATGCAGTGATCAAAGAAAGACACTGCATCCTTGCAGGCTTTCACCTCGTCGAAGTCTTTTGTTTCACGTTTGGCATGTGGTAAATTATTGTATAGTAAACGCAAGACGTACAATATTAGTCACACGAATAGTTTATAAGAAAGGCGAGTATACAACACTTACGTTTAATAGAATACCTTGATGTGTGCATCTATCACGCCCATCGATGCCTTGCGTTTTTTGGTTCCTCATTCACTTTCTTCCCGCTATCTCTACAACCGTCAAACACCATAATGACATTAGGAGTTCCTAACACGTATGTTTGATATCTTTGTAGCGATGCCTAAAAAGGTTTTGTCGTACTGCATGCGTATACTTTACAAAGAAATTCGTATCGATTGCTAACACCCCTACTATATGTGACAGTGGTGTCTTCGCGTACATGAGACGTGATAGATTGAACAGTCCAGTAACACCCATGCTCGAAGCTATCGCGAATACTGCAATAGAAACATTATACAAAGAAACTACTCACGCTATATTGGCGACGATACAGATACTTATGGTTTAAGGGGGGGGGGTTTATAGGGTTTTTAGGCTTTAGGGTTTATTTTACAGGCAGAACCTGGTACATTGATGACGTTGCTAAATCATTTGAAGTGCGGTACTATCAATTACAAATCGAAATTTAGTGCCCCAATGTCTAATATTTCATGCTCGTAAGCTATTGCCTCAGTCTTCAAATCACCCAGAATAGTGCTGTTTTCACGAGACAAACCTAACTTATCATTTGGCTACTCTCGTATACTTGCTTTTTTATTAAAAACTTTTAAGATGCTTCAATAGGTTTCAGTTTTATGACGTTAATATCGCCTTGAGAGACCGATCTTTACAATTGCATATTCAGTAACAGCCGTATGAGGCATTAATTGTTCATCACAAAACCTGAAGAAAGTGGCTGCCGTATGTTCATCACTCTTGACATATGTAGTGAAGCCCGAAGGAATTACACATCCTGTGATGCCGGCACATACTTGTAACCCTCGGCATCTTCAGTAAGCACCAGGTCATGGATTATCATTGTTCACCGATCCTCGTGGCTCGATCCGGATGTTGGAGAAATCCTTTCTTCCGACTGTCATACCCCGTACTGAAACGAATATATCGCTCACAACTGATGATGATTACACCGAGCAAATATCGTGGAACACTCCAGTTACATTTGCTTTGCAGCAACACGCTGTAATGATCGGTCTATGGATCGATGGCGATAGTGCAGTGACCAACAGCTTGTGCTTTAATTGCTCGTACGTCCCAGCATTTATTATACCACTGTCCAAATTCAATAGTATATTTCTAATAGAATAAACCATTGGTCGCAAAACCTTCTCCTTCCGAAAGCTAATCCTAGCTGAAGTGTATTTAATCAACCGCTATAATCGACAAATCTTTTCCGAACTATTTTATTTCAATAACTTAATCATCACGTGGACCCTTCAGAATCAAAAACAAATTGTGCTTTGTCCTTTTTGCTGGTTGTTCTGACAGCGTCACTCAGATACCTTCGAGCCACCCAAGAGTCAAACAAAAACCGCAGTTTGTCCCCTATTGAAGCCTCTGTTGTGTATGAGAGTCCAGCAGAATGAGTATTACTACCTTTCACTAAGACAACAGGAAAGGTCATTGCAAGCTCTTCGCTGATATGGCGCGTGCAATTATTGGCAATACTGCTGCCATAATAAATATCCACAACAGGTAGGATGCATATGTGCGATAGCTCGTGCGTGACCAGGCACTGATTTGTACAGCAGGCAAAGTGAAAACCCTACACTCCTGCATTTGAAGTTTGATCTGCGAAAACAAAAGCCCATTATCACCGTCCGCTAAAAAGCTTAAGTAATTCTGGGCGGAACCCAACGTTCGCCGTAAATAAACAATCAGTAGCAAGCCGACCAATCGAGTATCGTGCGCTGGCTTCAACAAAAGAAGTCTCGCAATTCAAACTCGTGTAACGATACTATTTACCTTTGACATCGAGGGCGACTGCGATGTTAAAGGCAACCTGATGCGGAAACCCCACAAATTGTGGTTTGTGCTCTATCACTCCGTAGTACATCCGTAACGGCGAATTTCCCTCGCGAAATATAACTTCGTCCTTGCTTTGTTCCTCTACGGCAAAACCTGAACAAAGCGAGTCAAAATCATAAGAAATCACGGAGTCAGAGATCACGAGTGATATTGCTGCGTGAAGCAAACGTGAGGATACGGCTGGGACTAGATAACATACAATGGCGAGGACAAGATGCGTGCACCACAATGGACTCAAACCAGAAAAAAAAAAGACTCTTGCACCCCACAGAAATGTAGTCCAAACTAAGCACTCGCAAATAAAACTGCGCACTTTCAGTCAAAGCTAGGCACTCGTAGTTATAACTATTCACTCGTAGTCATAACTAATCACTCATAGTTCCCATCACATACCAGGAGGACAGTATGAAATGCCCTTGATCGCCGTTGGATCGCCCCTTACTCCAAGCACACGACGTTGTTGATAGGCCTGTGTGTCAACGAATCGCATAGTTAACCTTACGCAACTACAGGCAACCCCCGATTTCATTGTCAATTCCACGTTTGCATGGGATGTCTCAACCGAAGTCGATACAACCGACCCGATTCTATGGTCGACACCAATTTAACACGGCAGCGCTCGAAGCATGTTAATTCACGAGTATTCTACAGTGGAAGCAATACTAGTCACATCTCCAATTACACTACACAGTTGCGCAATGATTCACACTGGCGTGGAACGGGTTCGACAACCGTAGCGTACTCAATTAAGTACTCGGTACGATGCAGGCGACATACACTGCCTCGCAAGTCTATTGTATGTACATCATGTCCATAAAAAGCCCCTGATCCACTTCTAAACCTCTCTTTAAGGTGATAGCACATATAAGACAGGCCATGTGTATGTCATTGACAGATGATTTATAATCACATTCAACCGGCACAGGAATACATAGTAGCTCATACTCAATGATTCGTTGCCTCCACAAAAGCGGTTGTTGATGTCACCTACTAGACACGGGCGATTCGTGTGAGGGGCATAAATACACCAATACCACTCTGGCGGGATATACGTCTATGTGATGCGCACACCACAGGACAAGGGTTTTTAGGGTTTAGGGTTTAGAACCGCTATAACATACTACGACTGACCTCTGACGTAAAGGCCTTGAGCAGAAAGCGATCGAATATAGCTTTGGTGTGGACGGTGGAGAGATTGGAATCCTTATTCTCGGTCACCAACCCATTCCGCAATGAAGACGCCATGACTTTGACATCGTATGATTTGATCCACACGTTCGGTCGTTTTGCCGCCCATTGGCTGTATACCGGACACGCAATTGGGAGGAAATGAGATCAGTAACCGTTGCCTAGCAACCAATGACTATATGTGTGAATACACTCAGTTCGAGAACACGATGCCTAGTATCAGCCAAACGACTGATCTCCTTATGTGTAACCGCAAGGATGAATGGACAGCCCGCGAAATCGCTCTACATACGCATATTAGAGACTACACACCGGTGAAACCCCTATATTGTAAACATTTCACAAAATTTGACATGCTCAACAGTTCGATATGTGATGACACGCGTTCAGCTGGACTAAAAACTTTTAATCATGCCTAACAAGTAGTTATGATTATAATATACAATATATGTGATAATATTATACTCGGTCTATTTTGTCTAATAAAAACGTGTATTATGGACTATAAATAGAAATACCCAAGAATAGTGCACGTATTACAACACTCAAACATATACGTTCTTATATATATGTATATATGTATATATATATCCATAAAACCACACACACACACACACATATATATATACATACATACATACGTACATACATACATACATATATATATATATACAGAAAAAACACACACACACACTATATATATATATATAGACATACACACACACACACACACACACACACACACTACACAATAATATATATAATAA